GGGATGTCTGTGATGCCGGCAAGCGTTTGCATGAATACAAATAAACTATTGAGTATTGTTACTATCAGAATGCCTTGTTTCGGCGCCTTGTGTTGATTAGACGACATGCCAAACCTAGTTGATTGATATGTACCTTGCGGTATGTAGATGGGTACTTTATATATGAGGACATAGTGAAACCCGTATGTCCAATAAAAAGTCATGCGCACCAAGATGTCTATAATGGTGTGCTGTACTCCAATTATGAACCTCGCCAGCCCGAGGCTAATTGTAACCTGACCTAGGAATCTAATAAGTACTTAGATTAGGTAAGTTAGCATCCATCACCACCTGCATATCACTCTTCGCATTTTCACTCTTTCTTACTCATACCACCCAAATACTTACTTAACTGTTAACCTAGATCAAACACATAACCGCCATATAAAGTAGGCAGTCGTAACAGACTCAATCAAACCACCTTGAATAATCCATTACATCCCATCGGATCTTTCAGGTTAGATCGCATCGCAAAGATGTCCTCGTCTGAAACCCAATCATCACAACATAGTCCTAGCGCATTCCGCCAATATCTCCCAGACCTCGACAGCCCACGATTCACAACCCTAGCCCAAAACGACGCTCACAGCCATGCCGAAGAACTCAAAGAGAAACGAGCACCGCCATGGCTATATGGACTATACCAGCATTGGATGAAGTTATTACAAGAGCCATTCAAGGGGATAACAAATGATGGTATTTTTTCCCCTCCTTTTCCTCCTTTTTTTTCTTCTTCTTTTTTCTTCTTCCTTTTCTTTCTTTTTTAGACCGCGACCTATTAATTTCTATATAGGCATCGTCCGACACAACCTCTTCAAAGTCCAAGACGAAGGAATCCCAATGACACGCATCGTCACTGCAGCGCGGAATGTCATAAACCAACTAACACCCTCGCAAACCGGCCGGACAATCTTCCACGTAGATTCCTTCGAATGGCGCACATGGTCGAATCCGGAATTCCTCATCAGCGATAAAGGAATCCGCTTAGACGAGGTATCTCCTTTGCTGCGCGATAGCGTACATTCCGTTTTGCGAGAATCGTTTTCGCGAGAAGGATATGAGAAAGCCGTGTCCGCTATGCGGATCAATCATTTCCTCGGAGAACTGGTTAATGCGCCGAGGGTGATGAATGAGAATAGTTATAATTTCGTCATGTTTGGTGCCGAGCCTTCGTGTACGAAACCGTGGGGTTGGGCTTTATATGGTCATCATTTGTGTTTGAGCGTTTTTCTGTATAAAGGACAGATTGTGGTTTCGCCTTGTTTTACGGGTGCGGAGCCGAATTTCGTGGATGGCGGGGTATATAAAGGGACGAGGATGTTGGAGAAGGAGGAGAGGTTGGGACTACGGCTTATGCAGAGTTTGGAGGTGCGGATGCGGGATAGGGCGAGGGTTTATAAGGAAATGAAGGATCCGGATATGCCGAGGGGGAGATGGAATCATGATGATCAGAGACATCTTTGTGGTGCGTATCGCGATAACCGCGTCGTGCCGTATGAAGGGGTGCTTGTTTCCGAGATGGATGAGGTGCAGAGGGGGATTGTGCTGGATATTTTGGAACAGTACCTCCTTTATCTACCGGCGCAGGCGAGGAAGATGCGGCTGGCGGATATCGAGGCTTGTTTCCACGAGACGTATTTCTGCTGGATTGGGGGGGATGGGGATGATGACCCGTTTTACTACCGTATTCAAAGTCCGGTTGTGATTGCAGAGTTTGATCATCATTCGGGTGTCTTTTTGACCAATGATCAGCCGGCAAAGTTTCATATTCATACTATTCTGAGGACGCCGAATGCTGGTGATTATGGATGGGCGTTGCGGGATCAAATCCAGGGGGCTGAACAGGATTATGTCTGGGAGGGTTAGGTAAATCTAGACATTTGGAGCAGGAATTTTTCTGACAAGGTGTATATTTCTTTGACAAGAAGGGATAAATACTAGATAAATATAAATATGAACATTGGGTTCCAAACGACCATAAACTCGTAATTCTACAAAAGGGGTGTTACACATCTGAACATCATATAGCTAATCCCACTTCCCAGTAAGTCCAAAAAATCTAAAGCCGCAAAACCCCTATTCTTCTTCATCATATTCTTCATATTCTTCTCCTTCTTCCTCTCCATATTCTTCTCCTTCTGCCTCTCCTTCCTCTCCTTCTTCTTCTTCCTCCCCTCTCTCTTGACGCGGCGGACTATGAAGATACTGCTGCAGAAAAGCATCAATAGCATAATTCGATTCCTCCAGTTGACGATGACCATATGCCGCAGCCCTACCCATCACAATTTCATACATTAGTATCATAAACTCATCAACATATCACATGTAGAGAGACATGTTCACATACGGCTTAGCCACACCACGACGGACACGCTCAAACGTCTGTTTCAGCGTAGGACGAACCTCTCTTTCCAACGCCATCGATTCGGTGACGATGTCTCGCAGATCCGGGTCAAGATTGGGAAAGTCGTCTTCCCAAACGAGGTCGTGCGCCACGGTCGCGTAATGTCGGTATAGTACCTGTTTGCCCATCTCTGGCGTTGCTTCCGGTCCGCATATCAACCATACCATTGTCTAATGGACAGAGACAGATTTTATTAGAAGAAAGGAAATTTGGGATGAAGAAGGGGGTGGGAATGGGAATGGGGAGGAGGAGGAAAGTGGGAGAAACGTACCTTGGCTACACACCATAGATTATATGTCACTGCTTCATAGCTGGTATTCCGGTAGGTTGCTAGGCCGTAGTCGATTAATTTGAATATTGGTATAACACGATCTGTAACTTTTTTAGCTTATGAGGGAAGGGAGAGCGACCCGGAAGATGTTGTGACGTACGCTCCGCCTCTTTAGGCGTCCTGTCACCAATCATGATATTCCTCATCGCGATATCATTATGACTGAACCTTCCAGGCGGCTTATTCTCATTGATAGTCTCAATCTTGACCGGTTCGCCTTTGGGAGCATTACGAGGATAAGCCATGCCTATACAAGCCCTTATCACTTTTTTTTTTTTTTTCCCGTTTTGCGTCAGTATATACCCTATCACAGCAATGAATTCACAATCGAGAGAAAGAAAGAGGAAAGAAAAAAAACTTACAGCAGAAATATATCCTCCAAAGAAGTCGATTCGGCGCCTCAACCCCTTCATCAACCATGTTCATCCACAGAGACAAGAGATCGCCATTCTCCAGATACTCCAACAAGACGGCAGGACCATCCAGATTAGATATCGCTCTGATCGCGTTCTCGGGCGGATTCTTAAAAGCGGCGTAGATCCTCTTCCACCAACGAGGTGGTCGGTTATCTTGGTCGGGGTGCTTCTTGTACCAGGCTACTTCGTCGACGGAGGCGATGATTTGGAGATGGTGCATGTTTCCTCTCATTCGCTTTTTTCATTCCCATATTAACTTAACATGTCCCAAACCCTGTCCTATAATACCGAAGGAAGAGAAAGGGGAAAAAAGAACAAAAATCACCTCGAGAAAAGAAGCCTCAGTAATCAACATCTCATCCCTAACAACGTCACCCATCAACAAACTCCTCTTCAACACCATTCGCTTCTGTCTATGGATCCGTAAGGGATCGATGTTTCTTATCAGTGCCGTGTATCCGTATGTTCCGTTCCCCAGCAACTTTTCGAATTCCCATGTCTTGGATCGGCCGAATACGTTTGTCAAGACGGCTTTATGGTGGGCTATTACTTCTCGCTCTTGCTCTGCGTCTAGTGCTTGGAATGCCATGGTTTCGGTCTATATAGATCCTTTTTTTTTCTTCTTCCCTTCCCTTTCGGTTTTAATAGAAAAAAAAAAAAAAACAGATAGGAGTGGGTGAGAGAGTGTAAGTAAGTAAGTAAGGTGGGAAGCAAGCAGTAAGAACACTCAAATTCGTTTCGTTTCGCTATAGTTTAGATGATGATTGGTAGTAAGAAGCAAATGTAAGTATAAAATAAAATAAAAAACCTTTCATTCAAATTTCTTTTCCCTTGATGAAGACCTATTCTACTCTACTCTCATCTCCCCTCTTCTTTTTCCTACCTTGTGAATTAATTGACGTTTCCGTCTACTCCCCCGCTTTGTCACAACACAGCATCAAAGCACAAAACCTCTCTTCTCTTAGAGATTCGGTTTGCTGACAATGCCTTTTGTCCCTTTCTCTCTCTCTCTCTCTCTCTCTCTCTCTCTCTCTCTTTTATTTGTCCTGTCCGGTTTGAATTTTCCGGGTGTTCTTAACCTTAACCCCCTTGCCGTTGTATTAGGTAGATACATATGTATGTCTCAGATTACGAGCATTGGCTAAGCTGAACAATAAATGGTCGTACAACAGACAGAGAGAGCCTTTTGCAGGATCGTACTCGTAATGGATAGTACAGTATCTGAAATATGCAGTGTAGCGCATACAACATAGATGCATGATCGGAATGAGGATTATTACTTGTGTATCCTTGTGCAGGCTGATTAGGTAACAATACTCAGGTATTTTACCTACGTTCCTTTTTACATCATACCCTCCCCCCACCCACCCTTAGAATTCGAACTATAATTTAAGAGGCTGAATTGCAAATCTGCAAATCTGCAAATCTGCAAATCTGCAAATCTGCAAATCTGCAAATCTGCAAATCTGCTAACCTAACGTATCTCTATTACGTCGTACTTCTAGGTAGATAGTAATCCGAGACCGGGGTAACTACTAGGTAAAAGATTCTAGCTTTTCACACTTTATAAATCTCAGAAAGGCGGAAACAAGTAAAAGATGGAAACTTTGGTGTTGGCCTGTTAAACTTGGTAGAGAGCAGAAACAGTATTCATTTACACTGTATTTGGCTAACGAAATATCCATGTATTAAAGCGTAGGGTCTGTCTGTATTTGATGCATACAACATCCTTCTACAGAGGGTATACTATTTGGAAAACAAACAGCTATATAATCCATAAGTAGTGGACTTTCCTTCATATCCCATCATAGGCTAGGTGGCGGAGTGGTTAACGCGGTAGACTCGAATATGCATTAATGCATAGTTGCAATCTACTTCCTTCGGGAGCGTCTGTTCGAATCAGGCCCTAGTCGTGGGTGAGACGTTTGTATCGACTACATTCATCGCACCTCATCTTTTTTCTTTTGGCTTCCAACGTTGGAGTAAAGTAGTACGAGTGAGTACCCGGGCAGAATAGCAAATCACCACCTTGGAAGCTTTATATCATAGGTGCATGGAGTTCAAGGACTCACTCCTTTTTGTAAAGTCGGTTAGTCCTACCACCCCCCGTTAACGGACTTGTCTAATCTAAATCTACGGGTATTTATTTGTAATATGCCGCCGGTTCGGAGGAAGTAGTAAGTCATAATCACAAGTGCCCAAGATCTGAAAACTCCCTGAAGACATGATGTGAGTTGCCGTCAGCTTCCAATATATCCTTTCCAGCTCTATTGCCCAACGCGTATAGGACGGATTGCGGATGACACGTCGTGGGGAAGGGAAATGTGCTCGAGTCCACGACGCGAATGCCCTCGAGACCGCGCAATCGCCAGTTGCTGTCAAGAGCCGTCCCCAACGCTACGGTGCCGACAGGATGTCGGAAAGAGTATGTCTGTTTTTGCATGGCCGCCCAAATATCCCCAGTGCTGGTAACATTCGCACCGGGATATACCTCCTCGGTGATTAGCTGCTTCAATGGGTTGCGTCTCAACACCTTCCGTAGTTGCTTGTAGCCCCATATAATGGCCGCTTTGTCTGCCGCTGATCCGTACCAGTTGGTATACAACACTGGATCGTCACGGTAATCGGTTGACTTTAATGTGACCTGGCCCGTCGCCTCGGGCTGCACTAGGCTGACCCAGGCCGTGATGGAGCTAGAGTTGGTCATGATGAATGGGATTGTGACCACTTGGATCAAGATATGTGGCCGGTCTTTCGGCAGGGAAGTGAAGTGGGTGCCATCCACGCCCTTGAACACCGAATCCGGGACACGGAACGTGGCGTACACGAACCCGTTGCCTTGTCCAAGTGGCCCCGACGCGTCCGCCGTGTACTCATCCTGCGCCATCTTGGCCTCCGTCGTGTTCACCATCCATTGCCAAACTGTCAATATCTCCCGTGTCACCAGATGTTGCGTGATAGACAACGCATGATCCCGCAGGTTCGACCCTATCTCAGGCCTATCGGCGATCACCGGGATGCCCAAGTTCTCAAGTCCGGCGCGGGGTCCTATACCAGAGAGCATGAGAAGTTTAGGCGTGTTGATAGCACCGGCGCTGACTATGATCTCATTACCTCTGACTGTGTAAGTTTCGCCGCTCGACTCATACGTGACGTTGACGGCCCGGGTGCCCGAGAACCCGATGTTGTGGACCCACGCGTTATACAGTACCTTGACGTTTGGTCTGCCACTGACGATACGTCCATACGTGTTCCCCGCGTAAGACCTGGTGCGATTTCGTGCAAATACGGACAGTAATCCCTTGTCTATGCCGATGCCTGTGCCGTCGTTCAGATCCGCCTCATGCAGGCCGAGCTGCTTCTGGATAGATTCTGAAAATGCCGCCTCGTACCCCACCAACCCGCTCGAGCGGCTGACTTCCAAAGGCCCGTCGCCGTAAGCCTTCTTGTTGATAAACTGCTCATAATCGGCCGCGGGAGGGTCGGTATAGTGGCTGACCTCTAGGAAATCCTGGTACAGCGATCCCCAAGAGATGCCAGGGTTCCCGGAAATCGAAGCCCATTCATCAAACACAGAAGCCGCTCCACGGCAATAAGCCATACCATTTACCGCCGTGCCACCCCCAAGCACGCGGCCCTGGGGCACAGAGGGAGAAATCCCGCCCAAGTTAGGGTCAGGCTCGCCAGTAAAATTCCATAAAGGCTCCGCGATGAAAGGAAAGTACGCTGGTGCTAGTTTGTGTCAGCCGTCTGGCGGCGGCCCGCGCGGAAATCAAACAGGGGCATAATTACTATTCAGCAGAGTAGCATTGAATGTTTGGGGTCCAGCTTCTAGGAGGATGACTTTGTATTGTCCATCACGCGACAGTCTCTCGGCGAGCACCAAGCCGGCTGGACCACCTCCCACAATGATGTAGTCGGCGTGGCTAGTGACATTATCTGCGAAAGACGCAAGCGTGGCTGTGGAAGGGACAGCAGCAGAAGTGGCCAGGAGACCAACTGCCAGGGATAATTTACCCATTGGCAATGAAGTCGGTGAGTGAAATGATAGCTGGCCGATGTTCAAACACGACCACCAGCAGTAAAATCAATAAATAGTACGGCGACTACCCATCACTATTAGTCATGGCGAGACTCTTTCCTCCATGCCTGCCAATCGCACGACTTTGCAGGGATAGTGAGATGTTCTCAGATCCCCGAGGGGATCTTACGCCATAATCGTCTTGCATGCTGTCCATTAAACCGGGAGGAATTGAGAAGACTGCGTCTCTATACCGAGGTCTCGTCAGCCACAGTTCGTCTTTTACGCATATCTAGAACCTGTCGGAGACCGACTCTCGCATGCTTATGAGCAAGGGCCGGAAAAGTTCCGTAGGACCAAAACGTCCTGTGGCGTTTCTCAGGATTGAACGGCATTCGCTGCTTATTTAATTTTCGTCAAAATGCCTACCGCGGTCTGGGCGATAGCACAACAGGATGCAAGTAAGCAAGTACACCTAGCACCAAGATCAGCGTGTCTAGCCACCCACACACATAGTCTGATCTCGAAGAACCCATTTTCGCGACCCTGATAAAAAGGCGCAGTCCGTCGTGTTTCACCACTCCATTGATGTCTATACGTAGAACCCGGTCGACTGCACTATATCAAGGTAGGTAAAGATGTGGCGCGTAAGAATGAGCTGACTCTGCGTAGATATAGTATTGGAAGTCTGGCTTCTTGCTCCGTTCCTGCCTTGATTCAACCCTACACCGATTTCTCATCGGAGGGCATGGGTGGCAGATGACAATTATTGGCAGACCTTGTCGACTGCGTTTGGAACCACGGATTCGAAGAGGTAAGATATGACAGGCCATTCCACATCAAACGTATGAATGACATTTTATAGCAAACTGGAAGGATCGTACTCGTATACGTACTTGCACTTGTAGAAATTTGGCTAAGCACAGTGTCCAAGTAGACCAGATACATTGGTAAATGATATTTACACAGTTTAAATCGTACTGCTAAACAGTACGATTACGTACATACACTGTCCGCTCCGGTCCTAGACTTCGTTTATCCGAGTTCCTTACCTAATACAGCTATATCTAATGTTTTATTTCCGTGTTCCAGGCGCGCTTGCGGCTTATCCATCGCGGATGATATCCACGATCTCGCCAGATAGCGCGCGTAGTCGCCTCCGAAGGTCTACCTCTAGTTGATGTAACAATGTGACGGGTATTGACGAGCCGCCATTCTCGTTCTTCACTCCCGCCGTTTCGGGAATGTTCGCCTTTGGCATATTTCCCGTCCCGAAGCCCTTTAATCGTCCTGATAATAGACCAATGAGCCTTTGTACAAGATGGAGCTCTCCAAAGAACGACTGTGCTGTTATGCGTATTCTATCCTCCTCCTGTATCCGATGGTCCTCTTTAGCCGTGGGCGAATCCGCCATCTTGTGGTCGGACCCTTGCTCTTCCTCTGTATCGGCCTGCTCTCCCCTTCGGATGGCGTGGTTGTACAAACTCATGATCTTGAAGACTAGTAAGCACATTAAATGCACCAAATATGAATCTTCCGAGCATGAACACTCGAGCATATTTAAAATGGTTTGCACATGCTTCTTGTTTACCCCGGCCTCTTGTTTTCTCGACGGACACTTGGCATTCCCGGGATGTTCTAGAGATAGCTTCCGGAACAACTCGAGCGCGCGGCCCATACAGTCACAGTATGAATCTGATGCGATGTCGGTAGGTGTGGGCAGGGAATGAGGCCTGTTATCCTCGCCATGACTTTGTGAAGGAATGCTGGTATCCGGGATAATGGATATATCTGAGAGTGACACATTGGATTCCGGAGTCGGGAATATCGACTGATGAAGGTCGGGGTCGGAGAATGTGTGAGCTAAGAGGGCGTCCGACTGTGAGCTGCCGGTACTACCCATCGGCTCGAATAATGACCAAGGCATCGATATTCCCGACATGTCAAAAAATTGGGGAGTATAGGTCGAAGGCGAAGGTAGTGAAGACTCCTCCGGGTTAGAAAAGAGGCCGGGCAACATGTCTTGAAAACAGGCAGAAGGCTGAGCTAGCGAGAGGTGTATGGATTCTGGTGACATGGTGGCTGGCGCCGTCTCAGCCGAAGTCTCCGAAGAAGACGATTCCCGTGGCATGGGAGTGGGAGTCGGGGATTTCTTGCTCCTGCTTCCCTTCCCGTCGGAGCGCATGGTTTGTGTCCTGCCGGCGCGCTTGCTGGGGACGTAGCCACAAGTCTTTCCCTGTCTCATACAACGGGCGCATGTCGGCTTTTCCTTGCTACACCTCAACTTGGACAGAGCGCAGTTGTGACAACTGTCGCGAAGCTTGCGAAAAGGCGCCGGCGTGGTGGATGTTGGGGTCGACGTCGACAGCGGCGACGGTGAGACTGGGGATTGTAGAGATGTCATTTTTGTCGTACAAGTAAACACACTAGTACCAGCGGTATGGAAGAGATGAAGTGACGGCCCGGGACACAGACGGGGACCGTGCTTCGCTTAAACAGTCTTGGGCAAAGGTGGTTTCTATCTGTCTTGCGACGGCATTTGTAATGACGAAGCAGATCTAGATGGATATCTTAGACGGGGCACACCTCGTTGCTAGGACATCGCCACGCCACATCCCACCTGGTCACTAGTTGATGAGAAGAGGTGAGGTGAGCCTTTGGCAGCACAGCAGCGAAATGGACAGGGGACAGAGATAAAGGCGCGGGGGACGTCTCCCTGCTATTTTTACCCTTGTTCTTTTACTAGAGGCCATATACCGGGAATGGCAGCGCGGGACGGCTGGTAGGAAGCTACTAGGTCTCTATGCAGAGCTTAGTCTAGATCCCTGGGCTTACGTTCGTTCTTTTTCCCCCTCCCCGGAAGTGACATAGGACCAAGCCATGTAAGTATTT